GTAGCAATCCGCCACATATGTAATCAACTACTCGAGAATATGGAAATTACTTTGGGGACGGATTTTTTGACCATTTTAGCAGGAAATTTGGAGTAATGACTAATGCTTAGAAACCAAAGAATAGACAAGGCCGTATCCGAATCGAGTAAACTGATTTCATTAATGAAATAAATAAAGATGTGGTAGCACAGTAAAGTGTTAATTTTCCCAAATACACTTCTGGTCTCAGATCATAGAAATTGCCTCACAGATCGATAGTAAGCGGCATGAAGTTGAGTGTATATCAGCAGGCTGGCTCCTACTTTAACCCTTTCCGCAGGCTGGAGAGCTTGTTTTCGTTGGGGCTAACGAGGTTGCGAGACTGAATCAATGTATTCAGTAGCAAAGTGCTTGGTGGCTTAAGCCTGTGTACTAAATGAAGCTACCTCTTACCAACTCCGAAGAGTTAGTTACAGATTAGGGGAAACATAGATAGACTAAATTAGCTAGGCTCCGTGTTTAGACGACGATACGAAACCGCAGGTTATACGCAGTCTGACTAATGTGGTCACGTTCAGACTGAATAAGTATTTGGTCTAAATAACCTCCACCCCCCCCCCCCCCCCACAANCCCCCCCCCCCCCCCCCCCCACAATCGGAAGCCACGATATACACAACGGTTAAAAATGGGCAGTTTTTAAGTCCAATAAACCTCGCTTCATCAAGTGTCTATATTCGTCCACACCGGAGTGCATCCTAGGCAATGTATACGCATACGGCAAGAGTACATAAATCGGCAGTTGACTTCAAACTACTAGAACCCGACTGCATGCTATATTCCACCACTTCCAAAAGTACTCACCTTACCTTTTTCTCTACCCTTTGGTCTGACAGTCTATTACAAAGAGCATTCAATCAAATAGGACCCAGTACTATAACTCAACCGTCCACATTTAGAACAGTACTTTGGAAGAGATAGATAGAGGCAATTAATTCTCATTTACTAATAAAAATATATATATATATATATATGCACATATTTAAGGCAATCATTTACAATAAAGAGAGTAATTTCAGTTATTCGCTATCACTATCAAGGAGACGAGCTCTCTTAACCGTTCCTGCGTTTTGGTTCGCCACCTCCTTGTCACTACCACTGTCATCTCCACTGTCACCGAAAATATTGTCTGCAACACCGTGACTGCTACTGCTACTACTGCTGCGACTACGAGCGGCGCGCCTCTTTCTACCGCTTCCACGCTTTATTGTTGTGTCTCGACGAAGATAATCTTCGTCCGAAGTGTTGTCACTGAGGGAGCCCAACGCCACATGCTGCTCTGGTTCTGGTTCCTCCCCCTCTTCCTCCCGCACTTTAGCCAGCTTCTGGAGTCTAATCCTTGCTTCATCATCTTCACTGGAGCTTCCAGATGAAGTATCTTCATCACTGATCATAGCTTTGCTCACAACACGACCCCGCTGACGGGACGCTGCAAACTTTTCCTCATCACGATGCTTATGATGACTGGCACTGGCAGTAGACTTTCGCTGACGCTTCGGCTCAGAGGTTCGGGCTCTCTTTGTGGAAGAGCGTTTCGTCTTCACTTTCTCATCACCACCTAGTCCTTCAGGATTATCATCAAAGCTGCTGTTATCTCCATCGTCTATAAATTCGCCATCAGCATCCAACCGTCTCTTTCCATTCTTGCGTCGCTTCTCCTACAATAGATGAAACATTTAAAAATGAAATGCAAGTGAGTCGTGAAGTATACCTCATTCGCTGCCAAAGCTGTTGTGAAAGTGAGCTGTTTGGCCTTTTCGAGCAATAATTCCCGAGTCTCCTCTTTCTGCCGCTCACGTTCCAGACGAAGGGCCTCTTCCTGGGCTTGAAGTTCGGCCTGCTTTCGTCTCTGCTCCTCACGATCTTCCTCCTGTAACATAGGGGCAATGAAAGTAATGCAATTAATTCGAAAAACCCTCCCTCAATAAAAATGTCATGCTTATAAAGATTCTCCATTATGAGCCAGCTCGAGATTAGCATTTAACGTATATTTCATCACCTGCATTTCCCATATCTCAAGCGCCCACAGAACACTCTATCTCCCTTAGTTTCCTAGCCCTTCCCAAAATAGATGCTAATGAACCAGCTTTTCGCTACTCCTTTTTCTCTTTCTCTTTAATTGTATCCTGTTGTTACTCGTACACTCGAGATCCTCTCCTTTAATTTTGCCCTTCCTCCATTCATTTGACCACGATTCACACACACCCCATATATGGCAGCTGGTCAAATAAACCCTCGATTGTAAATAGCCCTTCTCTGAAATCCAGTGTATATAGACAGGGGAACGCAAGCATAAGTATTAGGTTCTAAAACCCAACACCAAGACTCATATCCTCACCGGAATTAGCTACTTAAGAAAGGGTTACTATGACTTATTACTAGAGATTAGTTTGAAGGCGGATGCTGATAAGTAGATTCTCATGCATAATCGATCTAAAAAGAAATTTAAAACAAACCTGTCGTTGACGGAACAAGCGCTCCTGTTCCTCACGTGACTTTGCACGATCAAGATGGTATTTGGCTTGACTCAGAAGATCCTGACAGGCTTGAGCCTCCTCCAGGGACACTGACTGGTGAACAATTTCACTAGACTTCGAAAGATACTCAAATGTACTAAAGAGAAGAGAAAAAATAATTAAGGCACATGATTTATGAATAGAAACTTGGGATAATTTCATTAACTTACCATCGAGCCATGCTGAGATCAGAGATAGCTTCACAGACGGCCGCAAAACTGCTAGCCTCATCTTTCAGCACCAAAACAGCCATTCGTTTTTGCACAAGAGCCAAATTGAAAGTTAACAGAGGATCCCATGGTTTTACATGTCGAGCCTGTTTATATAATTCAAGGTAAGAGTTAGAAGTTATCACGTCGCAAAGAAGGCACAATGCTAAAGCATTTTAACATACCTTCAAAAGTACAGATTTACACTCCTTTAGCTGATTGGCTTTGAAGTATGCACGAGCCAAATAAAGTAGAAGCTCAGTGTCATTATCCTTTTTGAACTTACGAATACAGTTTTCGTACTGAAATAAAAGTTACATTTAAAATAAACCAGTAAAAAGTATACAAAAGTCTGTATCATATGATTCCCACCCTTTCTCGGCCTCAGAATATGCCATCTACTCGTTCTAAAAATTAAGTTGGACTGTCAATGTATTTAAAAATCGAAGAGAAATGAGGGAGGTAGGTAGATTATGGCGAGGTGGTGATGTCTAATCAACGTGTGCGGATGTGAAAATGCGTAGAAAGGCTGGATAAGGTACGACTTGTGTTGCTCGTGAGTCACTGTAGCATGTAGGATAAAGACCTAAGTTATGGTGTGTGCTCTAGAAACATCTCCTATCCTAGACTTGATCAGCTCATAAAATTAATAGTTTCCAGCTCTTTGATTAACACCCACCATTTGGATGGCTGCCGTGAATTGTTTTTGCTCGATATAGACATGGGCAATGTTCATCCAAACATCCGGGAAGTCCGCTGTAGCCTCGCGTACCTGGGCAAAAACGTCGCGAGCCTCATTAATGAAGCCCTTGTGGGCGAGAACACAGCCGATTCCATGCGCAGCCCAGATGTTACGAGGATCAGCGCTCAGCACGACCTTGTAGCAAGACAGTGCTCGTTCCTCGTGACGTTTACGGCGATCCTTGTTCTCACGAGCCTATTTAAAGTGGGAAGGGGGAATGCGTACTGCCATGTTATAACGCATATACGTTATCAAAACATGATTATAGTTAAGAACAAAAAGCTTATCGACACAAAAACCAAAGAACTTGCAAGTTTTTAACTTACTATCCATTAACTAATAGGCATACACATATAAGGACCACCTAATATTACGGAATGTAAATGGAAATTTATAAACATGATTTAAGAATGTGCATTTGAAAGTGCATTTTAGCGCACTTGAGTTGTGCAACAAAAACAACATTGATATAGAAGTTGTTTTAGAGCATTGGCATAACAAATATAGAAATTTCACTAACGACCAATGGGATACAACACTCTTTCTCGTGACCCGATGATCAAGGACTAAGTTTCCCAAACGTGCATTTTAAATCAGCGAAATGTTACCTTAACCCGTTTACGATATTTCTAATATTAACAATAAAACAATCACTTTGTAGAAATCTGAAATAAAAGATTAAAGTGACGACTACAAAGTGGGAAGAGCCAATACGAACACGAATTAAAATGAGAACAAAAGACATGCATTAAAGCAGATTAGTAGAGGAAAATAGGTGAACTGAGGTTCAAATGATTGCCCATTTCACACAACGCAAATCAACAACCGATGTGCTTTGAGAGCAAGAAAATTGACACAATACTGTAACGCGTGTGGCAACGTGCAAATTTCAGATTTATTTGTTTAGATTACCAATAATTACGCTAGACGCCTCGGTAGAACTCAAAATGAACCCATTTACCCTAAAGCCACGTTAAGCAGGCAACGTCGAAAAGTTAAAGAAATGCTGTGATCAGTCCTATAAAAAAACGTGAACTATCAAATATTAACAACTCATCCAAACTACATAGCATCAGCAGGCACTAAGAGGGATGGGTGTATAAATCGAAACACCAAATCTCCATTTGAAAATGAGATTTAGGGGACCCAAATCAAGCAATTCGATGAGAATGGGGCAGAACTTACAAGTATTCTCGAATTAGAACTATATCATATATACGTTCATTTTGCACTAGCAAGGTTAGTCAAATTAGTAAGCCAATAAAGGAAATAGTATGAGTGCCAACCAGAGCTCCATTGGCAGAGGATCGTTGGTGATGATGGTGGAGTGAGCGTAGCCAAACATTTCCAAGAGTAATACGGCAGTAAGCATCGGCAAGATACTTGGGCTGACGAATGATGTGGTCGAGCTTGCGTTGAGCAGCCTCCACTTCTCCCACAGTCAAATGAAGTTGTGCCAACAGACTCCAGGCGTCAGGGTGGTCAGGACTCACATCAAGCACCTCACGGAACCATAAAGACGCATCCCGAAGTTGACCCCTATCTCGAGCAATGCAGCCCAGACGCAAATAACCTAATAAAAGACTAAGTGTCACTGATAACAATGACTGGTAAGGATATGATTAAATGCGAACGAACACATACAGTCGACATAGGCAGGATGCTGCAGGAGGATGGATTTGTAAATTTCCTCAGCCAAGTCAGAACGATTTTTGGCCTCATGAAGACGACCCTGATTGTACCGGACTGTAATGGTAAGATCGTGATAGTAGTTATCAATAGAACCGGTGCTGGTCGATTCGGCAGTACGACGATGCAGCTCCAGAATTGCATTGGATGTAACTGTGCTCACAAGTGGTGCGGGAGGCTTCAAACGAGATGCGACTCGGTCTGTGCTTTCTTTGTCACCATCTTCGTCACCTATGACATCTTGTAGCTGTTCTTCACGAATGCGATCGAGCGCACGGGTGAGGAATAGCTATAGAGTTGAAAATTCATTGTTAATCTACTTTGATAACCTATAAGCTGTAAAAATATATCAATATTGAAGTAAAATATCTTCCATATCTAACTGGACATCCTATATGATCATTAGTTCTCGGGAACAAATCACAAAAAGCATTAAAATTTCTACTGGTGATACAGCAACCAATCACTTCCCCTAATTACTTTCACTGCAAGCTGTTGAAAGAAAGCCTTCACAAAAACAGCATAAATCTTTACGTTATTTTGGCGTGACTCGAACCGAAAATGATTAACTTTGAAGAGTAGACCAATCGACATTCAAGTCTTCCCCCATATCCTTAGAAAGCTTGCAAATTAATCAATGGCATGCGTGGACAACTGGGTAAGAGAATTTTTAAATCAGTACATTTAAAAGGAAACAAGCAAACAGAGAGTATAAAAAATGTCGAAGGTTAAGAATAACAAAAACCAGCACTTATTCCGACGCACCAAAATACATTCTCCATAAACACAAATTATCACTGCGATACTAACCTCAGATTTGTTAAAGTCACCTTTCATGAAGTAAAGAACACCAATATTGTTTAGAATCTCCGGAGATACGTCCAACTGAACATTATCGAGGATGGTGAGAGCATTAAGGTAGGCATTAAGAGCCTCTGAAACATCATTTTCAAGGAGCTGGGCGTATTCAATCCACGCCTCAACGTCATCGGGTTGGCTCTCCGTTACTTGTTTGAAGAGTTGCTTCGCTTGTGCCTGTTTATCTAACTTATTGGACTGCGCATAGAGGCTTCCCAGGATTTTCAACGTCTCATAGTTTTTTGGATATGCTTTAAGAACCTTCTCGAAAGATATCGCAGCCTACAATTGGATATTGAAAGCGTAGGACCGTTTCAAAATAGAAAAAAAGAGTCATAGTGACAACTTACATGCTCGAGGTCCTTTCGGTGGAGATACATTTGCCCGAGACCATAGAAAGGGAGCAAAAAGTTTGGAGAAGCGAATTGTGTAGCGAGGTAATAATACTGGAAGGCTTTATCATAGTTCTCTTGAACGTGGAAAGCCCGAGCCATTTGGTAACAACTCTCGGCTCTCATCGCCTCGTTCTCTGTACCATGGAAGGCGTGAGTAGCGAGTTTGTGAACCTTCTCATATTCTTTCTTGTAGAAAAAATGATCGGCGAGATGATTTAAAACCATGGGATTTGTCGAATCAATATTGTAGGCTCGAGACAATTTTTGAACGCCTTGTTTGATAGATTCTTGGGTTTTTTCATTAAGATCCAGAATAGCCAAGCCAACTAAAGCATCAACACATTCAGGATCCAAGTCTAGAGCTCGTTGAAATGCGAGTCGTGCTTTCTGTACGTTACCAAGACGAGCATAGCAATGTCCAATTCCAACACGAATAGTTGGTGATGCATTTGGATGGAGCATTAGAGCCTTCCGATAGAATAAAAGGGCGTTTTTGTATTCCTGCTTGTTGAAAGCTATACAGGCTTTGCCCAAATAGGCCTGAATGCAGGGATTTCCTTGATTTAAGACGAAATTTAACTGACTGTCAGCATGACTCCACTTTTCACCCTCGTAGATGAAGTAAAAAGCGCGTCCTAAAAGATGTTTTTGATCATACATTGCTATTCGATCGGCTGAAGTAAAGAGAGTTGCTGCTCTAGAGATGAGCTGAGTACGCTTCTCCTTGTTGGACTCTTTTGAAGCTTTTCTCCCACAGTAGTTAGCAAGCATGTCTAGAAGTTGAAGGAAATCATTTTCATTATATGGAGTAAGAGTAGATACGTTTTGTTTCGCTTCTTCAAGAACTTTTTCAAAGTCGTCATAGTTTTTCTTTTTATAGTAAGCGAGTGCAATATTGATCCAAACAGGCAGTGGGGCCACTTCTTGCAAAAGAATACTAACGACTTCATCGCTTTCAGGCAATGCGTTAATATCAAGTTCAATAACTTCATCACCACCGCGCAATGGGATTTCTATAGTACCACAGTTTTCATTCTGAGGAAAGCCAGATATATTTGATGTTATTCCAGCGGACTGTATATCCGACATCTATAAATGAGAAGATTCCCAGATATTAAAATTTACCACTTGACATAAAATACAAATTAAATGAAAATTAGAATATAAATGGAAAAATTACACTTAAAGACAAATGATACTTACATTGCGAATATAGTGTCACAGAAAGAAGAACTAAAACAAATATAATTGTTTCTATAATAATAATTGTTATTATATTAACCGATAATATGATTATTCCTGGAAATTGAGCAACAAAGTAATTTAATCTGCTAAAACGATTCACTCTCGCTTTACCTCAATCTAGAAATATAAAAATAATTTATTAAAGGTTTAATTAACACGCATCGTCTTTTGAGCACCAAGTCATTTTGAAAAAATCTTCTCATAATTTTGTGAAGCCTCTATTAAACGGAATTCTATTTATTTTCCCTTTTGTAAACTATTACCAAATGTAAAATTAATAAAAATTTTTCATGATATATATTTATATGGATATATATCGGATTCCATTGAGTAACATTAATTAAAGTTTTAAAATTTCGATTTTATAATTGAACCAGATATTTTACGATATTATTGTTTTGCATATTTAAAAGGCCATGTTTTAGAAATTAAAGTGTCAGTTAGTTATGTTATTTTACGATTACGATCGCAAATCTATTTAACTTTCATTAACTCATCTGATTAAATATTATACTTATTACTTCCCGTTTTATATAAAAAAGTAAATATATTAACTAGCCATGACCGATTTCATTCTTAGTATAATGAAAACCTATATTGCCCTAATTTGAGTTACCTGCATGTGCAAAATGATATGCATAACAGTTGCACAAAGTAGAAGTCGAAAAGCTGTTCAAGTAAAGTGCATTATACTAAACGATGTAGTTTCTATCGAGTAAGGAAGATAAAGTTGAGTGAAAATGCTATTTAAGTGTAAGAACAGATGATTGGCAGTGGCGTGTCTGTCATGGTGCATATGAGTGGAAATACCAAGAAAATGTATGTGAATTGATCAGACAAGGTTGTAATGCAAATATACTTTTAGATAAAAAGAACTAAATACGGAAAAAAGAGAATCATATGCTCTTCTTAAACTGACAGTGTGGAATTCAAGTCATTTGAAACGTTAAGTGAAAAATATCAGTCTTATTCTTATATTGCCCACATATTTTGTTAGCTGATTATTATCTACATAGAAGTTGTCAGCTTAACCTGATATATTTTAATTGAATCATGCCATTGTAAGCATAAGTAAAAATGAAGAGCCTAAGAGTTAATACTGCAATGACAATTTTTAACGTGGTCTCTGGAACGTATTATTTACGATTAAGTTATTACCATGAAGATCATTACAAGTGCGTTATTAAAGATGGGGACGAATGAAATTACATATTTAAAAGTTTGGATTAATAAAGCAAATTAAGCCGTGTCGTAGGGCTTAGCATATAAAGTTGCTAAGTCCTCTAAAAGGACTGCCGAACCTAAAGAAGGGATATGCCTACATGAGTCAAAATATAAACAGTAAACTTAAATAAAGCAACGACCCATCTTTTATTTGGATAATAGCCTATCATGAATGAATGAAATTTTGATAATTTAGGGTTTCTATTAAACTTTTAATGAAATTGCTATGGAAAAATTCTAATTAGTGTAAATTAAGATTTAAATAGAATATAAACTGAGGTAAATACGAATGAAAACAGGTTATGAGTGAAATTCAAACCTAGTTTTCTATTTAATGCATTATATGATTTCTACATTATAATTTACTGAAAACTTGAATTTAATTATGCAACTTCCCAAAACCCTTTACGAATGTTTATTCTAAAGACGATCTTTTATAAAAGAGCAACCCCAAGGAGCCAGTTCGTTTGGCTGATCGGATTATACCACAATTTTCTTTATCTAGACTCAATATTTATTTCATGGTAGCCAGTATACTGGGTGAAACGATGAGCGTTAAAGTTGTAACGTCTAAATTCAGAGAGGAGAACAATAACCTATGAACAATCGTAGCTATATAATTACTAAAATATAGTAAGATCAAGTGTGATTTCGCCATTTGATAGGCCTGGCCGACAATCCAACAATTCTTTAAATATTATTTCATATTCAACGAAAATGCTCTTATCTTATATGCAGGAGCTTTTGATGTCCACAATTTTAAGCAGCAGCATTAAAACAATAGGAAATAACTCTATCAGCCTTAGTTCTTAATAAACACAGGAGTGTTGGAGCGTCTGAATCGATTCATTCGTAAAAGGAAAGAAAAGATGGCGTTTAATTGTTTCCATTTTAACTTTTTGTCAAATAATAGTTATTCAGCGAGAAATGTTTTCTACATTTCTTAAATCCAAAACCTAGGACTATATATATATAATCTGTGAGGCCATCACAAATATGACGAGTTATGATTCAAAATAAAAAATAACTACACAAAAATGACCGGAGTGTACAATGTAATTTCACATAATATGTTCATAATTATGAGCATATTTAGCTGTTATCTTTTTCATTCAAAGACGCATAAGATGTGGTAATGATAGAATAACATAATACACAATGTTTTCTCTTTTTTGGTATAAAATTACCATGAAGCTTATGACAAGAGTGGTAAAATTTTTAGCGATTGAACTTGGTAAGTCAAGTGAATAACGACAGTTTCATGACGTTTAGAATTCGCAGCGTTTTATTTTGAGAAATTATTTAATTAAAATCTATGTTACAAAATCGGTTAATTTATACTGCGTACAATGCCTAGAAGCCCTATGGTTACGTATCGATATAAATTAATTTGTATGTTTTACCCTATGACTGAAAACTTAACCTACAGGCGTAATAGTTTGCATTACTACCAGTTTCATTTACCTTGATGGGGAACGTGCATACCTCTGGTCCTAATGAGGCTCTTATTTTGTCTGGTAATCTAAAATTCGATCGTCTTATTAATTTTATTAGGCGGACTGGGATCTTCGGGAGTTAAAGTAATAGTTGGTGGTTGGGGATGGTCTTGGTGGTGTCTCACAGATGTACAACGGTGGGATATGATTTTTAAATAATATTGTCAGGCTTTCCCTGTCGGTTATGACACTGAACCCCAAATGTGAAGACGTTGAAACTCTGGAAGGTGTGGCAGTTACCGTGACCGGTGTCGCTCAAGTGAAAGTAATGAATGAGCCCAAATTTTTAGAAGCTGCCTGTGAACACTTTCTGGGGAGAAGTACTAAGGAAATTAAAGAAACTATTCTCCATACATTGGAGGGTCATCTTCGCTCAATTCTCGGCACACTCTCTGTTGAGTCTATTTACAAAGATCGTGAGATTTTCGCCCATTCTGTACGGGAAGTTGCGGAACCTGATGTTGCAAAAATGGGTTTAGAGCTCTTATCTTTCACAATCAAAGATCTTAGCGATCGGGTTCAGTATTTAGATTCCCTTGGGCGTGGACAGATTGCCTACGTGAGACGAGATGCTGAGGTTGGTGTTGCGGAAGCAGAGAGAGACGCCGGAATTCGAGTAAACTTTTCAATTCATTCCTTTTACAGTTTTGATTTTTAGATTCTAAATGTTTCCTGTTTATTTAGGAGGCGGAATATGACAAAGAGCTAATTGATGCTCGTTGTTCCGTTGATGGAGAGATTGCAGAATTCCAGTTCAAGTTTACTACTATGAAATCAAAATTTGAGCAGGAGATTAATGTGGCCACAGCTGAGGCGGAATTGGCATACGAGTTGCAAACTGCAAAGGAGCAGCAGTCGATTCGAGCCGAGGAGGTGGAAATTGAGGTGGTTCAGCGTCGTTTACTAGTTGAAATCGAGCACGAGGAAATTTCGCGCTCACAACGAGCTCTTGAACATACAGTTCATCTTCCTGCAACAATTGAGGCTTCTAAAACACAAATGGTTGCTCTAGCTGAACGGTGAGAACTCTTCATTGTTTACTCCTATTCATCTTTTTTTGTATCCACAGTTGTCCTTCATTACTCACATAATTTCTTGATAGCAAGACATGGTGTCCATAAAATTTTTTTTAAAAGCCTTTAGATTTGTGAACTTAGTGTCTGAATTTCAAAATATCTTAGTTTTTAAACACCCAGTAACTTTTATAATTATACTTATTGTTTTCTGAATAAAATGCTTTCGCATTTTGGAGTCATTTTTCACGAGAAACCAATTGCCTCCGATTGTTTGTCATTAAATATTTCGAACTCATCTGTCTTAATTACAATTTTCTTTGGTACCTTTTAGTCATCTAATTTGACTAAGACCAGATATGCAACTAACCCCGCAGTGAGAAAAATGGGTTCGAAAACCCTGAGCGCGAAGGTGTCTTTTCGTGTGCTACTTTGTTTTTATCTTCCTCATCTTCTACATTCACATTTCAGTGTACGGTTTTGACAAGTCATGTCGGAACGTCATAGTCAGCACCTGGAAAGTGACAAATAATCTTATTCTAGAGTCACGTCTAACGTTTGTCCTGTGGTTAACATGCTTTTTGCGGAATACTTATCGTTTAATTTTCATTATCCATGGACTTTCATTCATATATATTATTCCTATCGGCTTGAGATTAGATTATTACTGTTGGTGATGATCAGGGAAGAATCTAATCACTTCACACTTTCTTTGCCTGAAAGCTATCGCTATGAGTGATCGGGAACACATTGATCAAGCACCACGCAAATACCTTCAATTTGATCGATGAATGTAGTCAATATCCTGAGACCTGACCTTGAGCACATGTATGACTTATCAGTAAGCTGCATTTGAGAAATGCATTCTTACGTATCGTCTGAACTATGTTTACTTTTGTCCTCTCAATATTCCTTTGTGTTTGGGTTTTCCTTTTTATAATATTCTAGGTATTTTGATCTAAATAAGCCTATTATAGATCATCTTATTGATGAGTCAACTTAATATGAAAGCCCATAAAGTCTCTGAGACACGAAAGATGGGAGAACGGATCAACAAGCATTTTTATTTATTTATAACAAATGGCAGGCGTTTTGATAGTTATCATTAGCCCTTTAGTTGACTTCGGGCTTCACAGAGGGGAGGGGGAACATCAAAGTGAGAAGAATTCAGGATGGTGAATAGAAGGGTGTTTCAAAGATGCAAAAGAAACAGACACAAAGGCTCAGAAAGGGTAAGATGAATACTGTGGTAGGGGTCGAAAATGACATACAGTGGGGGTGATGGTTGTTTGAAGTAAGAAGTCAACTGCCGATTAATAGACTTTTTTGCCGCATGAGTATACGTTGCCCAGGGTGCACCACGTGGAGGTAAGTCTATCGCACACCCCGGGATCAACAAGCATAAAGAATATAATGGGAATCCACCGTCCTTCGACTCAGAAAGATATCCCTGCTTCTCTATGTTCGATTTGTCCACTCATCATACGAGCAAGTGTGTCCATACTTGCCTCGGCTTGTCCTCCTCTTAGTCCAGTTATTTATTGAGGATAGCTTATGTGGGGGTATATTGAGTTGATGCAAGGAGTTTCAGATGAAGAATTTTAGTCTCCCTAGAATCTGGATATTACAATTCTTACATTAAGGTTGTTGTAATTCGAGATAGACTCTTTAATAAAACAACTTTTCGTTTTAGCGAGAAGAAGATTATGGAGGCGAAAGCGTCAGCGAACGGTATAAGGATGATCGGATCGGCCAATGCGGTTGCCCTCGAGGCTTTAGGATCGGCAGAAGCTGAAGGAGTTATTGGAAAGGCTAATGCCTTCGCACACTTCACAGACGCCTCAAAACTCGCTTCAGCTCTTGAAGTTCTTCCCACCATTGCGGCACAAATTGCACAGCCTCTTGCCAACATTAAGGAAATTATCATTCTCTCTGAAAATGTTGCTAGCAGTACTGGAATTGATGAGTACGTAGAGACTGCCAAGTCCCTTCTGGGAAATGTCCTACCGCCAGACATTATGAAACAGTTCGCATCCGTTCAGGTGGGTAATACGGCTTTAGCTTCTCTTAACAAAACGCAAGGGATTGACTGAAAACATATGAAACTGCTAAACGTTAAGGAAGGTAAATGTAAGGAGTGCTTAAATGAACGTTGGAACTGAAGGTAGGCAACTTCTAACTTTGTAGCTTTAAAATTAGCTCCTTGTTACGGGAATGGTAAAGAACGCATACAACAAAAGTGAGATCCCTACAATCCTATTGTTAAAGTAAAAAACGGTAGTTGACCAGTGAGCAGGAATGATGGCATCCCAGCTCCACTTTGTTAGGATATTGTAAGCTGTTTACTAGCATGTTAGATTTTTCTGTTATTCGTCCTATGGTAGATAGTGGAAATAAGGGACCAGTCAAAAACATGAATTTGCATTTTGGGCGAATCATTAAATTTTAAATGACTTTTAGGCACCTTGTCTGACCGGTGATAGATTATGGAAACTACATATTAGCTTATTAATCGGATAATACGTTGTCACTAGCCTACGGGTATTTGAGAGCAGAAAGAACTTGAGGTTCCACAGCTGTGCCTTTCTTTTTTAGAAGTTGCAGTCTTAGTGGAACAAATATAGTATTCTTACTCTATCATTGAGAGCTACATAGAAGAACTTAGAGAGAAGGCGTCTTGCTGCTCAGGTTACAGTGATTAAATAGACGTGATAACTTAATTGGAGTGATTTGAATGGTGTCGTTTATTGTTCGCGTACACTAATAACACCTAATCCACCATTCGGAAATGGTAATTTTCGATGTTATGTATTATCTTTTACCTACCCAACGCAATACCATTTTTAAATGTCAACGTATCACCTGTAGAGTACAGAACACGTGTTGTCGAGGTTAATAGTTTTTTTTCAAATTTCAGAGCAATCTCCATGGAGCTGCGTGAGCGTAGTGTTAAGTCCTTCCATTCCTTCTTTTTTTGACAATCGTGTACCTTTGCTTTCTTATTCTTTTATTTTAGAAAGAAATAACAGATGAATTTGTTACCGAGTCGTATTTATTCTCAAATGTTTGGTAGGAGTGTTGCGGTATATGATTTGCGCTTACCATTACTATTCGAAATGACTAAACCTCCCGTCCTATTTACTTAAAGTAACTGACAATCACGACTATTCATCCAGATATCAAATTTTTCTCCAGATGAATAGTTCAGGTATTGGTGTTGTGTCGCAGAACCCTATTAGCGCTCATTACTGCTATAAATTGGAGTACCCATTAGCATTATGATGCTGAGAAAAATGCTTGGGGTGGATAGGTTCCCTTCCTAGAACCTCTACATTGCTATTTCCACTGAAGTAGATGTGAGATTAACAGATTAAGTCTGTTGACAAAAGCCTTAAACGGCAACATTAAATCAGAGGAGAAAAGGATGTTTGTCTATTTGATAGCGCCGCTAATATAATGAGTGACACTTAAAATTCGTCCCCTGCGAACTATGACGACTTAAGTAATCGAAAGCTGCAGTAATTAAGGTTCACTGAACAAGTTGCAAGTCCAGATAGAAAAAATTTGTTAGCCAATGGCATCTAATTGAATTACTTAAGAGATTTTAAGTATACTGAATCTAAAAAGTTCGAGTATACGGTGGTCAAAGATATCAAACTTTCTGAACCTTGTGCTATTATGCTTTAGTGTTACTGAACTAAAATGTTTTAAAGCTGACCTCAAGTTTGCGTGCCTTAGGCCCGTTCTAAATGTAAGATATAGTTAGTTGGAACTGCATCAGAGGGGAGGGAGTTTGGTACTTCTACTAGACTACACGAGTCCGAGAGTAGACGGAGATACCTAGGCCTCTGATAAGATGATGAAAAGTTGAAATTGAAACTAAATGTCACGATCCTCAGAAGAAAAGTACTGTTTAACTATTGTCTTGTACGAGCAGAGGATGCAACGGTTATGCATCTCACATTAGTTCATCAATAAAGAATGTAATTGATGCTTGTTTGTAATAGAAAAGTCTACACGACGACCACCCACGGGGAACATTCGAAAGTCGATTTGAATATGACCGTTTTGCCGATGCAAACGTTAACTCATTTCTAAACAGGCATCGAACTATTTTGACACGGGAACCGAATACATTTATGAAATTTTAAGGCCATATACGTATACTCATACGGCAAAAAAGTCTATAAACTAGCAGTTGACTTCAAACTGCCATGACCTTACTGCATGTCATATTCGACTACTTCACAGTACTCACCCCACCTTTTTTCTACCTTCGTCTTTGAAACACTCTTCTGTCCCCCCCCCCCCACTCTCGACTCTCTTTCACTTTGATGTTACTTCCTTCTGTGAAGCCTGAAGTCAACCAAAGGGCTAATGATAACCATCGAAATAACTGCCATTTGATATAAATAAATAGATTAAATTGCAACCTCCAATGCATCGCATCGCCAAAGTAAACGTCGATTTTTGGTCTTCTTACTGTTGGGGTGTAGGGCATTAATACAGCCCTTACTGCGTTATCGATTTAGTTGCATCTAAACATATTTCGAGCTCTTAAAATGTGCAAGGAGTACTTATGTGCTGAACTAGTACGTTCTCATGTTAAGCAGCAACCATCATTTCAATGAGCTAGAAAAATCTAATTCAAATACAAAATCGATAATTGGTCAAATAAGTGACAAAAAAATAAAGGAAACCAAGCTAATACTCCATCTACTTTCGTCTTAAAGAAACTAACATTCTTTTAACTACGTTTATAAACCAACTAAGGTTGACTAAAAAACTAAACAATCTTAGCTCTCGTTTTCAACATTAAAACAGACCACGAATAACCAAGTGGTAAGTTACATTAACCTCAAACTATTTTATTGGTTGACTAAAACATGAAACACACCTCATGTGAATCCGGGCTACAGAAAGATAGAATTCAGGCAGAAATATATGTATTACTTATTATCAAGAGCAGCAAAATAGAGAGGGTAACCTTGAGACCTACGGCTAAATTAGTTACTGCAAAGGCTGTACACAGTGAGTCAGTCTAATCAAAGGCAGGTGGAAAAGATTGACAACTCTCCTTATATCAAATTCGCAAGAAGGCTGTTAGCAAAAGCCATTGGGCGTATAGATGGATGAGGGACCTCCTTGAAGCTCGTGAATTCTGGTTTCATAGCACCAGGCTCGTGAGACCCTTTGAGGACAATAAAGGCACCTTTGTTCCCCGTGATATCGCAGTAATTTGGAGCGGAGAATACAGTTATACATCGACCACCATGTGCTACCTCATAACCCTGATCCTTAACCTCATGACTTCGAATTATGTAGTCGAGGTTGTTGCGTTCACAAAAATTCAACGTGACATCAGGACCGAATTGGCATCCAACGCCGCGTTTGGAAGGTGCCCGACCATTGCCATCCATTGGATCAGACCAAAGGAGTTCACACATCAAACCCTTCTCTGGTGGTTGGCAATTGCGGGAGATATTACGAAGATCGTCCAAGTCCACGTCATCCGTAGAAAATAGGCCCCCATGCATGACCTGAAGCAAAAAAATGTTTTTACTACATAAAATGAAATTTCAAGCCGAAATTCTATGTATGAAAGCAGCATTTCCTGTTCTGCAATATACCATCCTCCTCATTTAAGCGGATGATGCGTACAAATTGGATTTTTTCCACACCTCCACTAGCGTTCGTCTAACTTGCCGAAGTTAATTATAAGCAAAAACACCTGTGGGACTCGTCATCGCAGGCAAGCACGCCAAGATTCAGAGTGCGTGCCGGTCACATAGAGCTTTGCTCAGAAATTTAGCTATTAATGTTCACTCAAATTGTTCTATTTATTTGATAACTATTCGCATTCGCCAATGTCATAGTTTGCAATACACGTGTTCTGTGCAATGCGTCTATTTCATCCCTAGCTTCGCTGTAGCTTAGCTAGTTCTGTGAGTCTAGTCAATTACAGGAGATTCTACCATAGAGGTATCGGATTCGGAATGTTAGTTATACGATGTCTGATCATATATATATATATATATATATATATATATATATATATATATATATATATATATATATATATCACTTCAACAAAGATTCAAAACGTCTAAACTGAGAACAGGATAGAGTAAACAGCCTAAATAATAGTCAAACGATGTCTATAGCAAATCCTTCAATCGGCGGGAAGAAGAGAAAAATCGAACATTATGTAAGATCAATTACACACCGTGATATGAACAAAGCAAGACATTGAAAATAACGAAATTAATCTAAAGAAACCAAACATGAATGACGGTTTAAAAAGCAAGAGTCATTCTAATACGTGTAAAAAAATTGAAAAACAAAAATACATTCATGAACGTTTAAGGAAACAGAACTCTAGTTCTTATAGATGGTAGTTGCCTTACCAAAATGCGTCCATTAATCAAAAGAGACAGCGGAAGCCAATTGAATACATCGGTGAAAATTTCAGCCATTTCAGTGTTGTACTTGGTCCTCACTTCATTCTCAAAGCCGTACATTTGGTTCATATTTTCAGACTCGTGATTACCTTAAGCGGAGAAAATCAAAGAAATGTTTTTTCGTAAAAAACGTAAAACCAAAGTGAAGCGACTTACCTCGAGACATGAAAAAGTGGTCAGGGTAAAGTAACTTAAATCCGATCAACGTAAAAATGCACTCAACAGAGAAGGACCCACGGTCCACGAAGTCACCGTTGAACAGCTAAACAAATCTCCCAATTAATTCGAATCAAAATAAACTTACATATGGGTTTGTAGTAGATGGCATTCCATTGAGATCAAAGATGTTGATCAAATCATAAAATTGACCATGAACATCACCACAAACAGTAAACTTACTGCCCTTTGGAAATAAAATCGATAAATTAAAGCAAAAATACTCACATCAGAAACATCAATTTCAACCAAGGAGGGAAGTTGCTTAATAAATTCATAAAATTTGCGAATCATCTGAAAAATGTCATATGAACTAGACAGGAACATTACATACCACCATTGCATATTTTTTATGTAGTTTTCCTTCTTTCAAATAGGTGTCAATAAGAGATTTCATAAAGGTCTCAGTTACAAGGTATTCACCATCCTCATTTTGTGGAAGGTGTGGTCCCTTGTAGGAAGGTTCGATAATCACATCTGCGGGGTTAAATGTTTCGAGAGGAGACTTCTTGTCCTCGTGGGCAATGGCTTGGGCAAATTTTCGGTATCGAAACTTACTAAGGCATTCCTTATACCTTTCTTTAGCGCTTTTGTCATTTGAATGCCTTTTCACAACCTAAATATTAACATAAGTATAAGCAACAACTACCGTGTTAAAATCATTAAGAGCGAGATCATAATGGCCCATAGCCATATATGCCGAGGCCCTCCTATAATATCCCTAATACGCCAGATTTAAAAACAATTGTTAATTACTTTCGCGTAATTTGGGTCCAATTCGATAGCTTTAGACGCATCCGTAAGGGCCGCGCCGAATAACTCCTTACGCAAATAAGCGAAACTCCGATTAGCATAATAAATAGCAGTTGGTTTCAAATCGATAGCTTTTGAGTACAACTCAATAGCCTCTGAGTATTTACCACCTAACTATTAAGCTAATATATAACTATTTCTTACTTCCAAAAAATTCATTAGCCCTTGCTTTTAGTTCTTCTGATTCAGATGTTACGTCCACTGCCATAACCACGATGCCAAAACAATCTAGGCTGAAAATTTAAATTGGGCTATTGAAAACACAACCTTGAATAACGGAATGAGAGGACTAAAAATTGCTTTATCTTATTGACAATTATTTGCTTTTCATATTAATGTTAATCAATAATTGACAAATATAATAAACTTTAAATAATTTAGTGTTGACAAACGTTACTTTGTTTAATTTGAGTGAAGTAACTTGGTTAATTGACTCAAGGTATTCAGTTAAACAACTCTTCTGCATGTTACTTATGAAACACGCCATCGCATACACACATGATAGGATTATGAGTGTGCAGCCGTTCGCGTAGAACACTGCTCAAAGACATTTAACAATAATGTCCTCTCAAATCTTGTTAGATCTATTTGATAACTAATAACATTTTGCCGATTTCATAATTTACAATAAACGTGTTCTGTGTGATACTTATCTTTTCTTCATAGCTTCACTGTAGCTTAGCTAGTTCAGGGAGACTAGGCAGATATAGGAGATACTGCTATACTGTAGCAGTCTGCTACAATCTCATGACTATTCATGGATGAAAATTAATTTGAAAATAGAAATGATTGTCTTTGTTTTATGCACCATTTTGATATTTCAATAATTTATAACTTAATTAACATATTATCAATATAAATATTTTATTGATTTATTTTATTACGGTTATCTTATCAGGATCTAGACTCATTGGAAATTTTAATGCAACCCTTCGGCTATTTCTGAATGCTGGGCATTCACAGACAATTTGCCTACTTAATTTCTGGTTTTATTTAGTTTTTACGAAAATCTCGCATTTATAAGCATACTATTTATTTATTTTAAAAATTATGAGTTCTTCTATGCATATTTTCTGTTTGTCCTAGTTTGACCGTGATAACAATATTTTCATGGAAATTCTAAATATTATCTTGTATCTTTTAAGGTTTGGTTTTTTAACTAATTAGAAATAACTTAATGTATGAAACCGAAATGTTAGTAGTTATTTGATATCCCGTATCCTAAGTTGAAACTTCGATGTATTTTTATTTAATTTATTCAATCATTAAGATCGGATTGAGATAACTTATTTTTGATATATTCTTATGAACCATTTGAGACCATTGATAAGGCATTGGATTGGCATAATCCAGATACTGAGACATAGGAGATACGGGATCTATGGTTTTTACTCCATCGTAAATTACAAAATCAATGAAAACGCAGTAATTTCGCGTTGAGGATGGCGTAACAGTTTTTCTTAACCAATATTTTCGCTTTAGATTGAGTCAATTAGTGAAGTGGTTTATACGTCTGCAATGTAAATTCTGTCTTAGGGTATGATAATCGTGATGACGTTTTGTACGTTATTACTAGCAAAATTCCATATAGAAATCTAATTGATTATTCAGATAAAAGTTAACAAAACTTACTTTATTCAATAATTAATAGGCAGGCAGCGATTGCTAGCAATTATATAGTCATCTTCAGCAATAATTTTGGAAAGCATAGGTAGTTAAGCCGTTCTAGTAATTTTGTCAATAAAATTAAATCTACGCTTTTGTTTACCTAAATATGATAAACTTGTATCGCGTTAGATCATTGATGACAAATTATTACTGTGATATTGTAATACGGTGAGCGACCCGAAATACATAAAGGTGTAAATTTCCTAAATGATAGGGGGAACTACGAAGTTTTTACATTGACGTTGTGTCGAATTATAAAACTCTGGGAATTCAAATGTAATACATATTTTGCTTATAGAAATTGAAACAAAGATAAAAGGGGGGTATGGCTGCTATCGGACGCATATGTAAATTAAAACATAACAATCCGAAACTAGAATATCTCAAAAATAAAATCCACATAATCCGGTTATGAATGTGTTTGCACAGATGCTAATCATCATGAGGTCACAGCACCTACTAGTCATGACTTACGAAGGAACGAGTAAACCCTTTTATAGGAACAATTTTTTTCCATCAGTAAAGTGAGGTGCCCCCCCCCCCCCCACCAGTCACCCCCGTACTGATTTGGGCATATGAAAGATATGTTTTTCCATATGGTCCTGTCGACATTATTAAAAGTTATATTCTGTCATCATATCATAATAATAATGAAGTAATTGAGAAAAGCAGCAAACGCTAACTGAATTTCAAGGAGTTATTGTACTTTGTGGTAATGGTATTCAAGCTAATTCAGTCCCTCTGCCTACATTCAATATTTGACTTGTGTGGCGCACGATAGACTTACCTCCACGTGGTACACTCTGGGAAACATATACTCAATCGGCTAAAAAGTCTATATACGGGCATTTGACTTCTGACTTCAAGCAAACATGATCCAACGGCAAGTCATATTCGATCACTTCCGCAGGCTCACCTCACCTTAATTTCTTCTCTACCTTTGTGTCTGCCTGCCTCTTTTCAATCTATGAATCGCTCCTTTGTTCCGCCCCCAGCTCCCCTCTTGAATTTTTGTGCCTTTGATGTTCCTCCCCACCATAATGTCCGTAGTCAACTAAAGGATTAATGATAGGTATCATAAAGCCTGCCGTTTGATATAAACATATATTTTACTTGTTCATTTGGATATGGACATATTCCCTATATGAGTGCCATTCATAGACAAATCAAACTCTTTTAAATAAGTTGTACCCTTGAGCGACAGTAATTAAAATGATTTCTCTTTGATGGCACAATGATACCATTCAATTTCTCCGTATACATTGGCACTGGAAGTGGTAATGATCAATGGGCTCATTGATTATGGTGTTATTTTTTGCCCATTTACATCACCTTGTGTAATTCAATATCAATGCTGCATTCAATTCGTTAATACTCCATCTGCTCGACAACTTCTAGTGTCTAAGGGGCAATAAAAAGTATTGATGTTCGGATTCCCGAATTCATATTGAATGCCATCTGTTTAAGTTCAAAGGCCTGAGGAATGGTAATCATCATCGCTAATCTTCACAATAAGGATATGAGAAAAAATAAAGTAAAAAGGTTAGAGGGTGCTTTAGGATTGAAAACGAAGAAATTCTGTCTCAGCTTAACCAATAGCCATATCTAAAGCCTGTTTGTTTTTTCCGATAAATATTTCATTGGACTATCATCTAATTCACATAAACGTTTCCGGACTCTCGGACATTTCCAAATACTGAACCTACCAGAAATTACAGATCAGAGGTCGGAAAATAAGCCTGTTGACGTAATACAACTTCGGTTGTACAATGAGGCCGGCAATTTATCGACCAGGGGTGATGGGTTATAGCCATCCCAGACCTGAGAGACTGTCATAGCTTGGATATTCCGATATTTACATATCAATCATCCGATAAAATCTTATTAGTTAGTGTAGTAAATTGTCTGCAAGATGTCACAGACAATTCCTCTACTTTTTCGAAACTCCAGAATTACCCCACCTACTATTTGGTTTATGCTGAAAATCCAAATAAAATATCTCATGAGTAGATCTATTGCAACTTCATGATGAATTATTTGGATAAGTTTAGAGACGATTCTAAGGAAGATTAACACATTCAATACTATTCTGCGCTGAAAAGGTATATTCTCTTAGTTTTATCATTCCTCAGCCTCTCTTAAAAAACAATCCCATATAACTATAGTAAAACACGATAGGTAGTGTCGAAGGCATGAAGGACTAAATGGTAACATATAGTCACTTTCAGCAGGCAGGACGTGGTCAAACAAGGTGAATACGCATGCAGCGTTTGCTTGTTCTCATGTTAGAAGTGAGAACGTCTATCAGTAGTAGTTGGTTCTGGTAAGAGGGGAGGGGGTGTGGGAGGAGATACACATTTATTTACAGTAGCAAATTCAATGGCAAAGATATAGCAGAAGAAACAAGGCGAAAACGGATACCATGGTAGGAATTTACAATTTGCGCGGATCAAAGTGGGAGGGAAATGAGATAATTCGATCCGAGCATCATCATTGGTAAAAATAGAGAAACGGCGAAAGACAGTGTTTGGGAAATAAAAGGAGGGATAGAGGGGCAAATGAAGACCGACTCAATAGGAGTTTTCGTGACCAAAGAGAAGATAGAGATTTGATTTTGACATCGGGTCGTCAATAGGTCGACTCTCTACCACTATATTCCTGCAAGGAGGTAAAGGATTGTTAGGACACCAATGCTTGATTATTGAAATACTGGTAGAAAAAGAAATGCACTTACTTGTCGCTTCCAAGAAGTTGATAAATATGCTGCGGATCATTAATATCTTGCGTGAGCTGAAAAAAGGAAGATACCGTGAGTCAAGAAGGAAGATCAATATTTAATGCAAAGAGAGTAAACAGAATACCCAGACGTCCTCAAACCGATTTATATTTGTAAATTATTTCCAGATCGAGATCTACCGCTGCCTTTGAGATTGTGAAAGTGTATTAGGAGCTGAATAACATGAAGTACATCACTACTTCCATGGAGAACACACGAAAATTACGGAAAAATCACCAAGTTGATCGCCCACTTTTTTCCATTTCGTAGCCATATTCCATTTCGATTGAGCGAATTTTCATGCACGAATCTACGAATGCATGCTAGGTTTTCCAAGAAATCTTTGTTATCTGCTGGGAACTCGCAACTCTAATTTCTCGTGAATTTGATAAAGACCAGGACAAATTCAGCGTGGAACCTATTCCGAAACAATTACACATTGGACACCACATACATTGATAGAACACAGCGAATTACATCGTACGCATTAAAGCTGTAAGGAGTGTAACCAACGCCAGAGAAAGTGGTCAGGACAAAAGATTACTGCATCCTCGATTATCAGCACTTTAACCCTTTTTCATTCTTTTGAAGATTAAATCATGTTAAGTTAAGAACAATAGTATTTAGCCCCAAAAGATAAAGAGTGAAACCGGCGATACCTGTCCATCGAACCCGAATCCACGTAGACCGAAGGGATGGAAGGCTAGTATACCATCACGAAGGCAAACTAGAGGGTAAAGAGGGATTTATTGGACCTATCAGCGGACTAAATGCTAAGAAAGGGCTTTAAAATTTCAACTGACCGACGGAGGCGACGTGTGTGTCGAAGGGAATCTGGGAAATATTTTGACGGTTATTGCAGACATTGCCGCGGAAATCCACAAACTTGGCGTGATCTGAATGAAGAACACACAATTACACAAATCTCATTTATTACAACTTCATTCCTCTTTCGCATTTGAACTGCGTGAAAGTTAAGATTCTGCAAGCCTCATTCACTATCGCGTGATCATACGTGCTTTTATCAATTAATTAAACGGATCGCGTTAATTATCCATCAATTCATACACTTGGACAGTCTCAATAAAACATTAATGAATATACATCTAAGTTCTACACTTTTTGCAGGTTATTAATTAATTCTCTCTTGCTTATTGATTAATTTCTAGACACGACCAAATAGTGAACGAAGACAATTGAGACACAGAATTACCAGACTTCAACCTACTAGCATTATCTAATTTCATCTCCAGTCGAGTATGCAAGCTGAAATCTTTCTATTAGAAGAAATGTAATATGATAGCGTAGAAAATAGCTGACCTTGGAAACAGAGCATGAGAACACTGTAGTCGATGTGAGCGACCTTCACGATAGGTAGTGAATCCTCAGCTAAAAAAAGAAAATGGAAATTATCACTCAAGTGTATTTAACGAGAGAGAGAGATGGGGAAAAGAATAGGAGATAAACTCACGAGAGAAGGGGAATGCAGGAGCCTTGATTTCCTCGCTGTTGAGATCAATCATGTGGAGGCGGAAGCGATTAGGATCCGAGGTCTTATAGACACCCAAGCAGACAGTTGGCAGACTCTGATCCCGATTGCAGACAAGGTCGAAGTTGTAGACCGGTGAAGGCATGGATGATACTTCAACCTATAAAAAGACAAAAAATATAAATCAGCACTAATCACATCAACTGTAAAAGTAACGATTCTCTCAGACAGGATTAAGTAAGAAAACCGACAATTGCTGGAAGAGAGGAGGGAAACGTTATTACTCAATTAGTGGAATTCGGATTAAGAAAGAGAGGGTTTTTGAGGGAAGTTACCAACTTCGTAATCTTTGCCAAATTACAAAAACAAAAATCAGAGCATAAGGCCAATTGACCTACTCGACGTTTTTTGGCGATGGAAGAGAAACCAAAGAGGTTTCGAGAATCCATAAGTCAATTATGAGGGAAAGAAACATTCAATGTGAATAGAGATAAGTCCAGTTTTAAATATGTTGATCATTATTTCGCCCCTTCCATTTGACCATGCATTTTTTAATAAACATTAAAACATTAACTTGTTGACCTAATATTAGGTCCATTCGCATAGTGCATTAAAATAGATTTGAGAATAGGGGAAAGGCACTGGATTGTATTAGTTCCTAAGGGCCGAGAAGTTCAAAGTTTGCGTTTGGAGAAAACCTGGAAACGGTTACATCGAGAAAATGCTTTTACTAAAGACAAGAATGGCCAAAATGCCACCTATTCTAATTTTCTTTAAAGTCCATGGTCTACTGAGAGCTAATACATCAATGAGTTATAATCAAAGGAAGCTGAAGAAAAGCCCTAAAAAGAATACCCGCTTGACTTCGACGAAAGTGCTACGAGGATTGAACCATTCCATGACGAGAATGGACTTGTCTATCACTGCGCAGAGGTATTTGTTTCCATTACTAGGGTTTCGTACCACGCTCGCCATGTAGCAACCTCGAGTGTTAGGCACCTTCACTGTTGGCTGGAATCGTCTAAAGAATGGAGAAAATGAACTTTAAATCTTTATTAAGGCACATCATATATATAAAACAAGGTTTACTGTGCGCGTGGGAGAGGACTATGTGCTTCCCTTGGAAACAAACAAAGCTGAGAGTTAAGCGTGCAATGTGCCTTTACAAGGTGAAGATAGACACAGATGTTACTAAAATATTTGCATTGCCAATAATTCCTCCGTATTCATGCCCATTCAAAATTAATTTTCAACACATAGCTCTTTGCAACTATGAGATATAGGTGAGCTCCTCTTCCCAGTTGTTTTTGCCATTAGTCGATAAACTCGATTCGACTACTTCATAAAAAATTATAGAACCGCACTCACAGATGTTGGGGATGATGGCAGGTGTCAGTGCTAAGACGAAACCACTTTAAGTAAAAACGGTGAAAATACATGAGCCATACAGTAAAGAAATTATTGGAATACACCGACATTTGACAACAATGAGATTGTCATTAACAAAAAACGATTGAGGGCTGGCCTAGACTTATGCGGACTTAAATTTGCTTATAAATTGTATATCATTCTGAAATGATATAGTCATGGTATATGTCTGTCATGGATTCAGGACGTATTTTAGACTTGACGCCCACAGACGTTCCAATACAAGAGATGGATTACAAGAAAAGAATTAAACTGAATTACGCAAAACCATATAAAATATCACAAGAATAGGGACTGTGAGTGCGTCTAATTGAAGTTTTTCAAAATGCAAAAACAGTTAGATAAGCAGAGAGATTAAATAAGCAGTTTCAATCACAGAATACATGATATGGAAAAATAATATGTCAAACGGAGCAATTTAGCGAGCTAATAATAGGTACCCATCTATTGCTTATGAGAGTCTCAAAACCTAATATGAAGGGCGACGAAGAAATTTACTTGGGAAGAAGTTTGGTAGGTAGACGTCCGGTGATGTTGCCACTGGCAGGATCTTGACTAGTTTTCGCCTTCATCACGTTGACCAGATTGTGACTGTATAGGTGAGGCGTGTTTCCAGAAAGGGACATCATAGTGTCACGGAACACTGTCAACCAAATGCACCGACGCGGAATTAACTATAGGAAATAGGAAAAGTAACTTCATACTGAGTGGATGACAGGCTTGTGAACACCATCTCCATCTCCTAACTCTGATTCTATCTATTTTCTCGACATAAAGTATGACCTAAAGCTCACGCCATCAACAGTTATCGCCGAGTATAATTTCAGATCCACATACTGAACAAACCAGTAAAATAAACTGACCAATGCCTCTCATCTTACCTTATTTTGTTTAACATGCCCAATGTTTAGATTTTCATATCAAAATCTCTTATTAACTACTATCTCTTCCCAACTCATTACAATATACTAGTGGTCCAACTCAAGTTTTGGCTTTCTGTTTTGAAGAAAAACTGTTATATTGGTAGAGTTGTGAGGAGACTCATATTTTTACGATCATTTAGGATACGGCTAACAGCAACCGTATAATAAAACCGATCAAGTCTCGGTGGATAAAATAGATAACACATTCTGTTGTGAAACAGATTATTGAAAACCTTAATTTAGAAGCCACTGCACAACCTATGAATTCTACTTATAAACTTTAGGCTTTAGAGATGTTCCAAACCCTGGACATCAATTGTTGTAATCGCTCACTTACCAATTCCAGAGTAGCATCTGCTAATTCCTGTAAATTGAGGTAGTAAATACCATCATTGGTACCGAAGATGATCATTTGCGCTGAAAAAGAGTAGAACTGAAGATTAATAAACTTTCATGAATGAATAAGAATGGAAATAGAAGACAAAAGATGAAAAGAACCTTTAGTGAGTGGATTAACCCAAGTCGCGGTAGCGTTGACCTTCAATGGGCAACCCTCGAATATGAGAGTAAAGCAAGCGCCCATCTGCAAAGATACAAATAAAACACAAAAGTAAAATATGCAACTCAAATGGCTTATCAACGACGATGAAAACAAGGCCACCGGCACGTGGCAAACCGATCATTTTATCTGACTAGACCAAACAGCTATTTTTGCATTCCAACACCAACTTTTAGGCACATGAATTCAAAATGATAGGAGTTAGTAATCCTGTGCCTAACTCCGAGCAAGTTGAAGCTCCTATTGGAGGACATTTAATTACTGAAAAAAGAAATTTTTAGACGTATCCAGAGGCCAACTGAGTGCTGACATTCTAGGGCATTGTGAGCGCGCCATTATTTTTGAACCCAATTAAGCCAGCTGGCTTGTACAAAGAGACATTCTGTTCGCAAAAAGGTCCAGTTTAACTATTACTACTCGGTCAAAGCATACGTATTGTTAGATACGAAACCAGACATTCGCGTGGTTGGACAACTCTCTCTCTCTTCCTCTTTAATGTACATGTTCAGCTATTCAGCAAACAGTAAAATGGCAGAAAATTGAAGTACTCAAACAAAAGTGGCAAAAATGGATTTGCATCTAAATAAGTCTACTACAATCAATTGTACCAACCGAGGTCAGTGAGTTGGGTTACAGAGGTTGAAGAGACCATGTTTGTCAATAAGTGCATTGTACGTCATCAAGAACGTTATAATAGGAGAGTTGGAAGCAGCTTAAGTTGGCAGACTTCGCCAGCTTGTAGAGGCAGTCGCCAGCATGCAGAGAAATTTTAGATCTGTATATATCGTTGATAGGGGAAGTTGAACTCCAAAAGTGTTCACCCAATAACCACTTAAATGGCTCATTCTGATAATCGAAATGAACCACCTGAGGATTGGCGATGACTATCTACGAGAAATTTTAGATTACCACAGGAAAAACTGGTTATGGTACCACTGAGATAAGTTGCACTCTTGAAGTTGCATTAGGGACAAACAGCTCAGGTACCACTGTCAACTGAGCACCCAAATATTAGCGATAATCTAGATAACAATGTTGAGAAGCACAATGAGTCATGCTTCAAACATAAAACGCAATAAAATGTCCATTACCAAACAATTCGGAAATTTGCATAGAAATACTAAATGCCTGATGTTCATGTGGGGATTATCGAATGTTGTGAGAACTTACGAGAACTTTAGGAGTGGGTGGCAGACCGATACCATGTTCCATTTGGTACTGTCTTTCGGCGTGTCTCAATCCACTTTTCTCGTAGCCAGTCATGGGACCACCAGCAGTATCAAACTTGGGTGGAGGAGGCCTAGGTGGAGGAACACCTGTTCCCCTGCCACGAAACTCCTCGCTACTCGCTGTTTCGCCAACAGCAGGGGCCAAGTCACCTCCAGTAATATTATCGGTACTGTTTCTAACACTTGCTTCTCGTTGAGAAGAGGAAGTGTTGGCGGTGGTGTTTGAGATAGGACCAGGTGCTGTGGCAGCGGACTTCCGGTTGCCCGTAGCTACAGCCGCGGAGACAGCTTTGAGACCCTCTCCTTTGGGTGGGAGAGGTGGAGGCATCGGGGCTTGACGCTTCGATCGCATATGAGGAAGGCCTTCAGTGTCTGGTGTACTTAGAAGACCATTTGTCTGAAAGGTGAGCAATAGTAAGTAATGCTCAATTAGTTGTGATATGGCAGTCTCTCAAAGAGTTTACTTTTGAAACACTTAAGAAATATGCTACGATTACGTGTTGTTCATGGTCTACTTCTGTGGCCTGAATTAATTCTTTAACGAGAAACCTATATCGTCCGTAACAGACGGATTCTTATACTACCAATTAATTAACTATATGAACCCCAGTGCAATCTCCCCACTTGTCCAACTCCAGCACTTTCCAATTCTGCCACACATCTACTCGACTCTGTTCTCCCCAACACCAACAATCAGGTTCTTCAGTAAGCTACTCCTAACTTCTGCCTTTGCAGCCCTCTCTCCTCCTCTCACTGTACCAGTCTCTTAGCTAAACCCTTAATTGGTTTCTTAGTCGTTGTAAATTCATATTCACCTCGGCTTTTTTAGCTACTAAATCTAATTCAGTATCCCACCATGAATCAAGGATCAACTCAACGTTGACCATAACAAAACCCCTCTTTCTGGCCCAATGTTGCATATTAACTTCATAGAGTATGGAATGAATAAAGAAATCGAAAGCGCAACTTTCGAACAACAGTAATATACATCGAGTCTTAATCATTTTCATTAAAGGAAGCTGGCTTTAACCGTTTCGTCCTAAGTTGAGCTCGAATGTGAGCAATATATTTGATAGACGAAAACTGAATTTACCTGGGGCCTACTTTTCATTGTTTTATTAAATTATGAGAGAGGATTGTTATAATCCCTAGGAAAAAAATGGACATTGGCTAACCTTAGCAAATCCTCGTTTTGACAAAAGGCTGATAAATAACATTGCAACCTTATTTATTACCCCACTGTCCTGATCTCAACAAATCTGACGATGTACGAACAGTCAGATGATTTTCATTAGCGAATGTTTTCCATATAAAACCAATACATGCAGATTCATTGGACAGAGTAACAAATCAATTTGATCTACAAAAATGGCGAATTTTTCGCACATTTTCTCTGCTCAAGTCAAGTGTTGTGAACACCTTCTAATAGATCTAGGGAACTAATGATGGTGCTATGAGCCCTATGGCGATATTTTAGTACTTTGAGGCTTTTAGTCCCTTCAATTATTTTATTCCCCGGAAGGAAAAGCACAACGTTGCAAAAACAACAGTGGATTTTGGGTCCAAAGTAGATATATAGGACGGTGTAACCGACGCTAATTCGCCGCAAAAGAAACAAAGTCCACATCAAACCACAACTAGATAGTATAGAGAAAGCTGATCGAAATTGTGCAACGTAAAGACAACATGCTATCACAAGTTTTAGAATTTTGGACTTAACACGACAAGCACAAAGAGTAGAAATAGACATGAATTTAGAGGTTAAGCGGTGAATTTTAAGAGGGTCATGCAAGCGCAGGTGTGATCACACATGGAGGATCAGCAAAGCAACATTGATACAACTTCAAAAACAAGCAGTCCATAAGAGATATTAATTCAGGTATATTACGGTGATTACTAATAAGAAGATAACTGTGAATTTTTAAAAGTTACTTAAATCTGCATTGGGGAGCAAAGGAAAAGTTGTAACCACCAGAGGCCCTAAATCGGAACATAAATCCAAAATTTGATCATCGAATAACCTCGGTTCTCAAAGCCATATTCTGGCTTGACATCATTACCTGTATTCAGCTTATAACTAGGGACGGTACGCTAACACATGGTGAAAATTGTATAAACCACTCATCTACCAGTCACCTTAATTCGCTGATTGGCTAATTAAACTGTTCAACCCCTCTTCACTTCATTTACGTGTCATTCCTTCCTTAGACATTAAGGCGTTATCTAAAACAAGTATTTTGAGCATTATTCTAGAAACTCGAATCCATTTCTGTTTACTAGTTGCAATTCAGGTGATATTCAGACACTAGCTCTGTCTCCCATCTGGTAGCGGATGAACAAAGATGGTTTCCAGCCACCCACACTATATGAATGTATGATTTTGAACTTAAAAATGAAAAAATGTGTCAGAGACGCTTGAGTTGAGATGACAAGACTAAAGAGGTTATTTTCCGACACAGTTTATGTGTACTTAGTTAAAGCATGCTAAGTCACGCACCGCTTTTCTTAAAATCATAAGAGAACAATTAAATGTTTAATATCATGGTTAACTACAATAATCAACAGATTTTTAATATTCCGATTTATAAGTTTACCACTAAGTAACTCCATAATGAAAATTAAAAAACCCGGAACACCGTTTTATGTAAAAAACACAGAGCTCCACAAAATAACGAATCTGTATGACAATTATTTAACCCTATATTGGATTAAACTGCTCTGAAAGTAGCAAACCTTTTTGTAGAAACAATAATCAATGATACTAAATGAACAATTTATATAGCTAGTAAGCCGAAGAATACCAATCAAAATGCAACTGACTAGGTAGAGATCAATTGAAATTAAAGGCCTGTCTTACACACTTATAATATTCACTGGGACTGGAAAAATATAAACTGGCAATAAGAAATAATTAACATTTTGTCTCAATGTACTTTGATCTATTAATTGTTCTACATATGTTTGACCATTATGCCAAAGCTAACTAAGCAAAAGTAACCTGACTCTAACCCCAATTTGGTGTGATAAGGCCTGTACAACAGTACACTTTCAAAAGTCAGCAAGTCAAATGACAATATAGCTAACAAGTTGACTCTGCTATGATGATGATTATGAGAAAAAGCTTAACATTCAAATTACCTCTCCAAATTCAGCTGCATCTTCAAAGTTCTCGGATTCGTAAAAGCTCAAGCGGTTGACTTCTGCCATCAATTCCATCTCTGGATCCCTAAAACAGCAAAGGACAGAAAATCAGAAAGCATGTATATTGGCATAAACTAATACGAGTACACGTAAATTAACACAAGTGCATGAATGGGAAAAACGGTTAACTAATAACAGTTCTAAAGAAGGTCGCGCTTGGGAATGGACATGGGGGAACAAAAAAATAACCCTATCGATTGAATTTGATGAATTTTGGGATAGATTACTCAATACAGTACTTGGTTACTTGTTATAAACGAGTACACACACTGCCCTCAAAAGGTTCAAACCTTTGATCAACCACATACGTGAGTCATAGGGGAAAGTAACCTGTTTCTTGATGGTCCATACCATCTATTAAAATAAGGCGATTATGGTCCAATAAAAAGCGAATAAACTTTTGAGCAAAATGGAATATCCTACCGAAGCACAAACAATCTGATTCAGCCTGCCACCTACTCCAAACGACACTCCTCGAGTCATGCAGACTCAATTCACCCAAACTCTCATGGATTTCGGATATGCATCATCCCCCACAGAGGATGATGTGATGCCTCCCTCCCCAATTTTTTCCAAGAGGGACTTAACCTGAATTCAGATGCCTATGAGGAACTGTTTACCATCGCAGTGATTAAGCTCTAAAATACATATACATCTCCAATTTAGCCAATCTCGCCCCCCCCCCCCCCCCCCACCAAGATCTTAAATCGATAGGCCAAAAAAGAACTCCCGAAAGCAGGCCCAGGACTATGTAGAAACAAAGATAAAAGCTCGTGCTTATTTGTAGATCCACCTGCCATACCTCGTGTTCTTTCGACAATAACCTCGGAATTTTAATGACACACATCCATTTTTAACTCCAATTTCATCCCACTTGCTACCACATCGATCATTTCATTACTGCAATGGGATAAACGAAGTTACAATATTGGTTTCTAATTCACAACTCGGCCATATGTTAGTTGAGCCTAAATGATCACCTCAACCAAGATTCGATACGTCTAAGCTAAGAACAGTGTAGAGTAAACAGCCTAAATAATAGTCAAACGATGTCTATACCAAATTCTTCAATAGGCAGGAAGAAGAGAAAAATCGAACATTATGTAAGACGAATTACACTCCATAATATGAACAAAGCGAGACAAAAAAATAATGAAATTAATTAAAAGAAACTAAACATTAATGATGGCCAATATTTGTAAAACAGTCAATGATGATCGATAAGGGGATCAGAACGGTGAACCTGAGTGACTGCAAACGTAAACGAAAATAAGAGTCTCTCCAATTCAAACGGCCAAGACTTATCTACTGTGCAAGTTACAAAGTGAAGAGTGAAGAACATAAACTGTATGCAACAACTCACAAGAGTCCATCAGTAGCAGGATAAAAGAGTTTGCTCTGTCGTTTCTCATATTCATCCAGAACTTCCGCTACCAGATCCTAAAGAAGAAATTAAAACGAAGATAAGGGAGGGGTAAGCAAAGTCCCACCTACAAAGCTAGGCTGTGGAAACGCAGCAAAAGTAGTGTGCTATATGATAAAAAACAAATACAACAACAACAACAACAACAACAACAACAACAACAAGAATTATATACTGCCAAAACCCTTTTTTCCGAAGTATGAAAACGTGCATGGGAATGCGAACGATCATCAGTAAATAAAGTTGTATAAATAAGTAGTCGCATATCGCATGGCACGAGAATGTGTGCAATCATATATAAAGACGGTGGAAGAACAAAAGTGGGGACCCTTCACAAATTGTTAAAAGGCGATTTGTAAAAATAAGTAGACGTGCATCCAAGACAACGAGAAGGCAAACATTTTACAGTCAATGGCGACCAGTAGCAAACTGCCGAAAAGCTACTTGCGGAAATAAGTAGAGACGAGGAACCCACCTCGTTGCTTTCATTCAGGCAGTCCACAGGCAAGAGTCTGTGATCACCTGGTGGCCAACCGGCAGAAGTGATAGGTAAGGCATCACTAGGCTCGTTCAAGAGTCGAATGGAGGCGATACGCATTCGCGGTGGGCCACCAGTATTCTCTCTCTCCTCAGAGCCGCTGCTTGCCGCCGCTGGGGAAACCAAGGGGGTGAAAGGAGTAGCAGATGCGAGGGTGAATTTGGGAGGTTTCGGTGGCTGAGGTGGTGGACTCTCTCGTTCATTTCTGACCATATCTCGGTTAGCCTGGCCGGATACACAGAGGGAGTGTGTTAACTAGAACTGCTCTATTCATACAGACAAGGGGAGGCTAGATAACATTTCGATACTCCCCAAGCAAAGAGACGTCTGATTAAAGGTCTTTATGAATCTATGTGAAAACCAAGATCATAGGTTTGTCTGTCGGCTGAATTAAGGAGCTTGATGCAGTAGGTATTAATGATTTAGGAGGAACGCCAACTAGTTTGGTAGGTACAGACCCGACAAACAATGATTCCCAAATTAGCAAAACCAAGATTGCGAGATACTTAATTTTCTTGTGAAATTCACTTTGACATGAAAACTTGAATTACTTCGTACATTTTACTCTCGCTATCAACTTAACATGCTTCGTCACGGAAACGAGTCGAATCTTTCCACTCTTAGACTAATTTTCTCAACATCTTGATTTTGTTGCTAGGCTAATTTAAACCGCTAAAAGTGCATTAAGCTTTGGGAATAAAATGATTAGATGCGACTAGACCAACTATCCTAGTCAAGCAATTGATCAGTGAAAACCGAGTTTCGAAAACAAGAAGTTTCAGCAATCTGAGTGACGAATTACGAAACCAAAAATTAATTGGAGCAAGACTGTGACTCAAGATTTTCCAATCCCCTCCTCTTCATTATTTTTAGGTCAGTTGTTGCCTCACCGTATTTTGCAATAGTTTAGTGCGAAATATGACCATCTTTAAAAGAAGCTAATAAGACGACTTTCCTTATCGTAGACTGCAGCATATCCTATCAAAATTGTTAAAAGAAATTGAAGCTTAAAAATGACTCCAAAATTTCGCCCAGTCGCAGCGGGCAGGCTGTCATTTATTTTATTCCAACTTTAAGTCATCCAAAGTTTCCCTGATTTTAGTCAAATGAATGTCAAAAGCTTGAACAATAAAAGGGAAAAGATGCCGAAGACTAGAGATAAAATTATTGGCCCTGTCACACATTTGCCAAAACTACTACACCGTGTGAATGCTTTGGCTGGCTGTTGGCACATCCCGGTTAGTCACAGTGCACTTTCATTGGCTAGCGATAGGTTACTTGTGCACAAGAAAGCGCGCTGATACTGCGCAGAAAGCTTGCACACGCGAAATCCGACTCCTACAGTAGTATTTTCTTCATGTAGGAAAGGTGAGTGGAGAACAAGCAATAAATATTTCGTCTTACGGGATATAGCAACCAGTTTAGATAGGTAAACCCAAAGGAACCCAATTGAGGCCAAACGGCAAACAATTATAATTAAGAGATATCACTCCAGTAGGCCATATTTCAAAAATTATGCCTCAGGTGGCTTGACATTCGTGAAAACCATCCCATGATACAGATTTGACAAATGATTTACTTCTTATTAGAAAGCACGTAGAGAAACGTATAACGTTAATCAACAGCCACCAACTTCGGCATTCTTGAGCCTCGACATCGTATTATAAGCATTAGCTCCCCACTTGGAACAAGGGTTATTACGAATGGATGTCAGCAATTCTTTCACTTAATAAAGTAGCCACTTCATACTTGCGCAAAGAAGGTTTCAAAAATAACTAAAGTTTGTGTTGACAACATAACTGGATAAACTGAGAAAGTTCAACTCTACCAGTCACTCATCTATGCAGTTAAATTATGCCCATCTCTAGATGTGATTACTTATCGTGTAATCTCATTACTTACAAATAGGCAAATTGACGCATTTGTTAAACCACTTTAATCACAAGAAGTATACAAAGGCGTTGAGATACTGAGAGCCTTGTCCTTTATCTGTCAAGTCATCGAGATTTTTTCGCACAAAAAATTCCAAATTTGAGTTGAAAGTTTATTACTGAAGGTTTTATTCAACCTGTACTGTTCATTCACATAATGACATTTTGGCAATTCCTTAGCCTCCCTCCTTCTTCTTCTTTTTCTTCTGTTGGATGGGCATAGAACTCTTAACAGGTGGCTTTACGGCTACTGATATATAACGCTGGCATAACTCTTGGAAACTAAACAAACTACTAACATTTCAAAACGCCAAAATTTAAGTGGTGAAATTGTGATTTCAAAAAACCAAAAAGGAAACAGGTGATAGTTTTTCCTTTTTCGATTTAATATAGGTCAAATTCCATCCCATAATGCGATTAAGAAATTCCGAACAGATTTCATTAAAATTTGTCCTAATTGAATAAACAGTTACTTTAAACTGTCGAAATGAAATGTGGTTAAATATATAAAGCAATTCACAAAACAAACGAGTGGATTACAAACCAAGCGAAATCTAAGACAGCGATGTGATTTTCTGTTAAGATTTGGCATTTCAAGAAATCATTGAATTTAGCAACTCTGCATAATTATTGCACAACCCTCGAGTTGGCCGAAAAACTAAGAGTAATAGAAATGACATCCATATGAAGAAGTTAAATTAAACTGAGGAGTTGGAAAACTATATTAAAATAGTTGACGTGCAGATAGACGTTACTTTGACACAATAAGTTAATTCACTGAAATATGAAGCCATTTCTCAGGAGAGATGACGAAAATAGAGGCAACACGAAAATGCGCAGACAGATTCGTAATTAGAATTTGCTCACTATTACGATCTAAAACCGGATAAGCCAGTGCTCGATAAACACCAACCTATTTTGAATGAATATTTTAGGTCTGGACGTAGCATCAATCTAACGCATGGCGCAAATATTGGAATTGAAAAAAATGGATAATTGAAGACAGATCAGGGATCCAACTGACAAATTGAGAACAGGTGAGTGATTTCACATGAAACGCGTAACTACAATGTCAAAAGACAAGTTCGAAACACACAATTGCATAGCATAGCATTTTAGTGAATAGAAATATAATTAAGGGAGTGTTTTTCATGGAATTAAGAAAGCGTTTCATCTTTAAAGTGAAGTATAAATCCCTTTTATCATTAAGAATTTAAGGAAGTGTGAAACGGAGGTTGAAGCGCTCAGAACAAGCTAATCGATACAGCAGCAGAAAATGGAATCCGCTACTAACTTTCATGAGAACCACAAATAGATTTCCAGTTGGATTAAAAATCCCTCGCCAGGTAAGAACACATTAATAACAGCAATTAGATGCGAAACTTGAGAAATTCGTAACCGTGTGGGGTAGTGATATATTCGATTGGAATCTGTGGAATTAATGGTCATTGTTTGAGTCACATCAATTCAACATTAACTATTTCAAGATGTTAACGTTAAATTTCCATTTCCTTGAAATGAATAGAATGGTTAGATACGTCAGATAATTGTAATTTGCTAATGCATGCAAACAAATTTTGATGTATATGCACTAAAAATTCAAATAGCAATCAAACAAGCATATAAAATTGATTTCTTTTTACAAAAATGAATATGGTAATAAAACAACGCTCATACCAGGACTCGATATACTTTTGGGAATTTGACTAACAATGAAACTAGACCCCAATAAATTAGTACTTTCTATGCCCTTGGATAGGTAATGCATCATATTGGATTGAGTTATTAAGAAGTATGAACAAGAAAATACATCAAAATCAATTGCCTAATTTTACCTTAATTCGACCAATTAATCACAACCTTATTCCCATCCTCACAATACTGAAGCTTGCAAGCTCTCACATTCTCTCTACATACGCAGTCTGATTCGATCAATGGTTTTCTGATTTGAAATCGTTCTCTACAAGTAAACAATTTTGAAAAGGGATAGGTGTGAATAAAGCAGGCCGGCTTTTGATGACGTTTAAGTAGTAAGTATAGAGGAAATAAGTTAGTGTTAAAGAAGTGAACAAAGTATTCGCTTAGTAGACTTCAAATCGAGATTAAGCATGTGATGACCTTGAATTATGATGAATGGAACAAAATCTCTGTGATCAGTAAAAAATAAGTTACATTTCCGGAGAAACACTTGAATCCCTTAAGGGAAACTAATAATATTTTGGGATGGATATTCAGTCTTTTCCTTCTCAACTGCAAAAAAAACAGAATGAAAAAACAGACCCAATAAGAGACAAGATTTTATAACCTTTTTCAAATAACAATATATTTAAAACATCGAAGGTCATTTAAAGATAAATCAAAATGCTTTAGGTTTATGAAAATGTTTAGAACGGATATATCGGATGAAACAAGTTTGCGGCTGCGATCACAATTGCAAAAGAATTAGCATGGGGATAGAAAAAATCGATACATATAAGTAGGAGGATAAAACCTATTAAATATTGAAAATATGGAGTGTGCGATAAACTTACCTCCAAGTGGTGCACCCTAGGCAACGTATACTCACACGGCAAAAAGTCAATATACCGGCAGTTGACTTCTCACTACAAACTACCGTGACTCCACTGTATGCCATGTTCGACTACTTTCACCGTACTCACCTCACCTTTTTCTACCTTTGTGTCTGCCTCTTTAACATCCGTGAATCACTATTCTGTTCCCCCTATCGAATTTTTCTCACTTTGATGTTCC